CGATCTTACAAAACGTGTAGCCATGCACAAAACGTGTCCACTCCGTGTACACACGCCTGACTCGCTACTCAAGGGGTGACCGAACGACTACCATTTAGCGTTTAGGTGAACCTTGCTTCCACTAAAAACGACGAACACAAAAGAATCTCTCTGCAGCCGGCGCTATCGTCGTCCTTCTACTTGTCATCGTGGCCGCTGGCTAAAGGATTTGGCTTTCACTAATATCTCACTGAAGGAAATTGGTGATTAAAAATTAGGTCATATCGAGATGTCCACTCCACTCCGTGCGCATTATTACTATATATTATCTCCATAAAGAAAGCAAAGTCTAATCCTCTTCCAAAGGATTCTAGTATGGTGAATGGACCTTGTTGCCCATGAATTTTTTTTTTTGAAGTTGTTGCCCATGAACTTGTATCCCAAGAATAGCCCAACAACAACTCTTTGCAAAGGTGCAGTGCAAGAACAAATGCGACCGCGTTACATCTTGACCATCATGACAGAGTAGACATTTATAATATTGGGAGGACCATATTCTGTGCAGACATCTATTTTGCCCAACAGTTCTAAAAGTTTCCATCATCAGTGCTGACGCATAAAAGCAAAATGGTGCCTTACTGCCTTACTGGCCTGTTGGCAGCCATGAACCCGAGGACAGGCATGCACCTATTTCTATTTGGGGAATTAATTAAAAGCACGAATTATTCTCTGTTCGCACACGAACACGTCACCGTGTGCGCCCGGTGATGAGCGCTATACGCAAGACACGCCGGCGAGGTCTCTTGAGATCCGAAACCCCACACACCCGGGAGTGACCCAATCAGGGCATACGGCGGCTATGGGCTGCCCTAGCCGGCCTGACCGCTCTAGGGCTTCGCCGTGGTTGAAGCAACGATCATTGTCAACAACAAAGAACGAAAAACAATATTAGATTGGAAGACATGATAATAAAAGATAAAAAGTAGATGTATATTGATAGGTTCGATTGTCTGTTGTCAATCGGCCATCACCCTTTATATTTATAGTGCGGCTGGACTTTCCAACTACAAGAAGCTAATCTAATTCGGCTACAGCTAATTGCACGGGTTTGTTTATTCCGAGCCAGACTCCCTAAATAGGCACGCATGTACATGGTCTCTTCACGTGTCCATATTTGCCTTGTTTAGTTGTATCCTTACCATGTTGGGGTAACCTGCAGTCAATCAATTCCCTTTGTGCACGCACTCCAGCCGCAGGTAGCCATGATCCACAGGCATGCATGAATATGTCGTACAGCTTGCATTAGAAGTCCATCACACTTCGGACTCCAGGCTATAAAATTCCTTGTAATTCAAGTCCATTGACCGGAGATAGATCAAGAGCGTACTCTCTCGTGTTACAGCTGTTGCCGACCACCATGTATACAGGACTCGACCAAGAACCAAAATATTGATCATCTCTGTACAAAGCTGTCCTGATATGTCGCGCAAGGCATGCAATCCTCTAGATATGTGTCTTCCGTTCGATTGCTAAAACACCATAGTTCCTCTTGCATGAATGCACATATATACGGATGATCTCTTCTCTTGTCCTGGCCAATAACCGAACAACAATAATGTTTTGCACGTGTATATGTAGCAGTGCATGCTGGCCTCTTTTCTCTTGTACACGACATCTGCATATAATAGTATTTCCATGATACTCAAAACAGCTTTCCTCGATCTGGTCTCGATATATATAACAGCAAGATGTGCCAATCTTTAGACTCCAAAGGCAACACTGATCAAGCAACGTTATACGCATTCGAGCAGCAGCATGTCTTTCTTGACAATAAATAGACACCATCCATCTTGGCTGAAAAAACTCTTAACAACATTGCGAACAAGCCGAGTGAGTAGATGCACTCGTCCGACCAAGCTGAATACTAACGTATATCATTGAGTAATTGGACAGACAACTTAAATATAGCCAAATTAACCAAACCAAAGAATTAGTTACCGAATCACTTTATACAGTCAAATTTGGCTATTTGTGTTCTCGTATAATACAACCCCAAGCCAAATTTGGGTATCAACATTCTCCTAGTGTTTGCCGCCGCAGAAGCAGAAGTAGCTGAAGCACGCCTTCGAGAAAAACGTACGATCCCTTGTTCCAGTTAGGGTAACCCACGCTGCATGCAGCATCGAGAGCAGGCATCGCCATTAACAGTACGTCAGCTATGACCTGCTGTCCATAATTTTTAGAGTTGCTTTCTCCCAGCATTCTTAGCAGCAAATCCGATGGATGTGCCGGTTGACGTTGGCCAGCGATAGTTTTTTTTTTTGTTAATAGTATATATATACTCACTCTTAGTCAAGTGATTGCCAGACTTCTCCAAAGTCGATCGCAACAAATCTGCTCGCTCAGTCTTCTTCAACGTACTAACCTCCACCAGATAAGAAGCAATGGCGCCTTCACAAATGAATCTCTCTGCTGTCCTCCTAGTCGTCATCCTCCTACCCGTTGTCATGGCAGCTCGTGGTATGTACACGTGCACATGCATGAACTGCATGTTGCAAGCGGCGATGTCATTTGATTAATCTTTTGCTAATTTAAAGTTGTTTGATACGCCTTCGACATTTGTTGCGTAAATGTCCATGCCTGGATCTGAACCATACAGAGTCGGCGTCCATTGGGAAATATCTTTGCGCTGAACCCCTGAGCGACAATTATAAAGGGATATGCATTGGATTGATACACGACGCCGCCTGCAATCGTGTATGCATAGACGAAAGCAGCGACAACTTTAAAGGCTTCTGTAACTTTTTACAATGCTGGTGCCAACCTAGATGCACCTCTAAGACTGAGGTTGTTGCCAGCGCTACGATCTGGCAATGATACAATGATCCCGCCTGAACAATGATCCGATCCTTCTCAGCCCTCGTCTAGTAATAATATATAACATTGTATACTCAGTGTACCTACCGGCTGCTTACTTATGTTGTGTCGTGGACTTGTGGGTCAAAATAAATTTGTATTTTCTTGTGCAAATGTATATGGTTGCCTATCAAAATTGGCATGTCTGGAAAAAAACGGACGTTGAAGAGAGATTCCTCCGTGAATGCGGCTTCATTGGTTGCTCCTTGGTGGAATGAAGTCCGTACGTTGAAGAAGAATGAGCTAGCAGATGATCACAGATAAGTGACAAGTTTGGGCAGTACGTATATATGTAGCTTAGGTCGTTAAGAGAGGTGAGGTGGAGTGGTTTAAAACTCTGTTTTTCTGTCAGGTGTGACGTTTAAAACTTCATTGTAAGCTGGACTTCCCAACAGTGACTTTTGGCTTCCAATATAAGGCGGGCCAATGTGCCTTTGGTCCAAAATGTCTTAACATGCAATACCAATCTACCAGGCCAGACTGCCAGTGGATGTATCGGACTTACAATAAGAATATATAGAGAAACCGAGAAAGCAATATTTTATTCCCCTCGAATCCTCCGTCGCGGGCAGGCATCTGTTAATTTTCTATTCTATATTATTGGGCTTGTGTTTTCCGCCGCAGAAGCAGAAACTAGTCAACTAGTTAAAGTACATGCTGCTGCGCTGGATCCAACCGTGCCGTCCCGCGCGCGGTGGCCACAGACGGTAACAGATTACACCAGCAACATACCGGCAAGGCGGCAAAAGTTCTTTAGACTCGAGGGGAGCATGATTTTTCTTTGCACAATGCATAAACCATTGCAAATTCATACTTGAAAGCCACTCTCAATCCTTGCACCGAAGGTGTCTGGAATTGAAGATGAAGATGTTGCGGGTGATCTAAATACTCCGGCGTATCAAGACGATGATCTCCACAAAGAAAGGCACAAAGGTTGGCTCTGAACAATTCTACCATCGGGTAATGTTCCAAATTAACCAAGCTATTAAAACGAAGGGTGCCTAATACACTCAGCAGCAAGATTACATTTCAGGAAAAGATGCTCTAGTGGTACCTCTGAGTTTGTGTTATGAAACGGCGTCTCTCAACAGACACCCCTTCGGTGATCTCATCAACGACGCTATGAACAGACACCTGTTCACGAAGTGATCTCATCCATCAATTATAAGATTAGTGGATAGGATTAGACATTTAGTTTTACTCCAAAGGGCATGTCCTTTGGGAACAGTCGTGTCCCTTTGTGACACCCCTTCACTTGTATAAATATATTTCAGAGATCGATAAAAGAGATAGTTCTCCCAAATCTTGTTCATTTACATTCACTTCTAACACGTTATCAGCCACGTTGTTCTTCCCTGAGAAGAAGGCCGGACAAGCAGTTCTGTTCGCTGGAGGACTCGCCCAGGAGAATCGGCGCTGTTGCTGTTGAACGCCATGCATCCGGCCTCGCTGGCGCTGTCCACAATCACTGCAAGACCGCCGGCATCGTTACTAGCATCTTGCACGTAAGACATCATGATTTTCTTTCATTAATCAACGATGTTCTTACCTTGAAAAGAAGTTGCAGTCGATCTGCTTGTTTTTTTTGGCATGCCCCATCTCCTTCCTACGGTCGGAGCCCTGACTGCCTTGCACGGCCTGGCGGCAGTTGCATCTGTCCGCCATGGTTCCGCGGCTCGGCCCGGCAGGCGGCGGTACACCCCATCCAGGCCGACCTCGCACGAACCAGGTCGCAGAGCCTGCGCGCCCAACCGGCGGCAGTGTGCCCGCTTGCGCCAGGAAAGGACGGTGGCCTCCGCGCCGTGGCCGGCGGCCCCGCAGCGACCCGGAGACGGTCTCCCGCACAGCCTAGAGCCCGCGACCGGTAGCGGCGGCCGGCTGCTTCCCGTAGCAGGCCGCCCAAGTGTCCCCCGCTCCTCGCGGCCCTGCGCAGCCTCCGAGCACGCGTCCCCAGCGGTGGTCCGGGACTCTGGACGGCGGCTAGCGCGGTTCCGGCGGTGGCTAGGCTTCCAGAGGCATGGGATCCTTTGAGGAGCCCATCCCACGGATCCGAGGGGGCCGCATCCGGCCGGAGGCAGCCCAGGCGGCCTCGCGCCTGGCCAGCGATGGTGGCCGTGCACCCGACCGGCGACCCGCGCATCTGTGGCGCTCGTGGTGGCCAGGCCCGCAGCCGCGGCCACGAACTCGCGGCCGGTGACCCCGCGCACCTCCTCTCGCCCCTATGGCTGGCTGGCCCTGCACGGCTCCTGCTTCTCCCACACCCGCTGCCGGTAGCCCCGCGCAAGCGGCCGCGCGCCATGGCCAGGCGAGTCCGCGCGAATGGGCCCGCGCCTCGCTGCGGCCTCACGCCGGCGGCCAGTGGGCAGTTCGGCGGCGGATGGACCCCCACGAAGAAGCCGTGAGTCCAAGCAACGGAAACCGTCGGTGTGGAAGGGATAAGATTATGCGATTTTTGCATAAAAATCCCCCTTATTACTTGTGAATTACATAATGATCTTCATGAATTATTATTGTAATCCAGATTCATGATTAAACCCTCAGGTTTTAACATGTCTGTAGCATACTATATTTACCTCATGTAAATATTAATTTTAGACCCTAGGTTTAAAATGCAATATGATGCACAATATTTACCTCAGTAAATAAGTATTTTTGAGACCCATGTGTCATCAAGAATTGCATCATGACATGTACTGCTGCAGATGAATTTACCACTGTAAATTCGCTTTCCAGATCCTATGTTTTCTGGAATTTTTAGTACTATTCAAAGTGTTTGTCCAAATTAGCAAACCCAATAAACATATGCTATTAACATTGCATGTTCAAAGTGTTTGTCCAAATTAACAAACCTAATAAACATATAGTATAATCATTATATTGTTCAAAGTGTTTATCCAAAATGGCAAACACAATAAACATGTAATATTATTATCACAACCTTTGTATTGCAATTACTTTTTTATTTGCAATTTTAATTTTATGTTAAGCCCATTTATGCTTTATTTAAAGCTTACAGCGCTTACATTTTTAATGCAAAATTGATTAAGTGGATTACCTCATTATTTGTATAACACAAATGTTCCACATTGTATGTTGACCATACATAAGGTAGCGCCATAGGTGTTACTGTGGGATCTACACTAAATTCTTAGTGACTATCCTCAATGTGCGTACCCAACATCATAAATTGGAACATACGGTCTACATCTTTTCACAAGATGACTACCATTAATCAGCATTCCTATTGGCCATACACAAGGTAGCACCATAGTTGCTACTGCGGGATCTACACTAAGTCCACAACTTAGTGACTATCCTCAACGTGCGTACCCAATTCGTTTGCGGATTAACTAAGGTCTACATCAATCTTTTGATGATTACCTTAAAATGTGTTTATATAAATTATATACACCACTAGGCATCTACTGTTCAACAGACTATGTCCATATTATTAGAGGTCTACATCTTTATGATGACTACCTCTAATGTGTTAGCATAAATGAGGTTTACACTATTAGTGAGACAGATCTTCTCTCCTATTTATTTTGCATTAATTAATACAGCATCACCATAGCAATTTTAAATTTACCCTTAGCGTAAATTCAAAAAATCTATGATTTAAACCTTGTTAGAATAATAGCCAACAAAGAGTTTGATCTCTTGCTCTTGATGGTCACCATTATCTAACATGGTCAATGGATGTAATGTTAAACTTGATGTTCAATGGATTCATGGTAATATTTGATGCTCCTCATAAGAGAGCATCACCACTTATGATCAATTTAAATATGGAGTTTTATTTAAATAAAGCACCATATACATCCAGGTCGCATGTATGTGTATCTCAATGGGTGCAAATCGAAGCACTATATGGCTAGTTTACGAACAACACAAGGCAGTCATTCTGCCCAAAGCCAACTATGATTGGCCATAACTTTATCTCTAGGATCTTAAGTCCACTTGAGAATATAATTATGTTGTTCCAAACTATCCCCCAACATTGCGTTTTCGTGAAAGCACACTTACCAAATGTATTCTAGATTAATTCCTACATTACTTCAGGTCTAAGTGTATGATAAACTCTTATCGAGGAATCATCATTAGCATTATAGTGATGCTATATCATCTGAAGTACATTGAATTTTCAGAATCATAACAAGTTCGATGCCATGTAATAATGCCATCCATAGAACTTTAATGGTAAGATTTAACGCAAAAAGAAGTAGCAGCCCGTGCATTCTTTAGGGTCAAGGCATTTTTCAAATATGACAAAACCATATTTTGTCCTAATTGTGTATGTTACTGCCACACAACTTGGAAATGTCATGCCTTGAAACATTTAATTGATCGGTATTACAAATCCATTGGACATAAATATCCGGCTCAACCATAAAGATATGAAGCACGCTTCTATCTTCAACCTGACACCACCAGGAAGGCCAGTTGTTCATAACAAGTTTCATGAAGAAACCAAGTAGCAACCAAACACTTAATTAATAAGTGGGTCTTATGAGCATGGAGAGCACGATCATCGAATTTACTTCGCTTGATCCATTTTGGGGACCAAAATTTGTCTCCCATTTACAAACATACCTAGTATCTACGTCCCATTTTGATGTTGTAATATAAAATGTTGTCATCAATTTCAATTGAATATCACAATAATGTGCCATCACATTTGATATTCCATTAATTAACTTGTATGTAATCTATATATCTGCAAAGAATGTCATTATATTCTTCATGCTATATATAGAGTTATATGAGAGTCAATCCAAATGCAAAGAGGAATTTTGCCTAGTGGATAGTTGCACTACAAACTCTATATATAGTAAAGCAAAATATTCCTAAACTCTTACGTAGATACAAGGAAATATTTTGTTAATCGCTTGACGCGATGTCATGATAGTGGGCTTTGGTCTTGCTACTATCATACTCCCTATTGGTACTCAAATAATAATCATGAATCCATTTTTGTATTCTGATTCCATAATGTACCCAATTAAAATTATAGAGATATCCGCCAATGTGGTTTTCATATGAAAACCCCAAGATGATAACTAAGAGGAGTATTTTTCTCTTAACAACGGATATGGCAATACTTAAACAAAACATCCTCATTTCGATTTGACTACACATACATAACCTGTATACAATGTTGTGTACAAATAATTCTCTCTCTTGATGTCAACAAGACTTGGCACATTTGCCTTAGTTATTCAACTATAGAGATAACTTGAGAATTATTGTCAATTCTATTGGTCATAACATCAATATGAGCCACTATATTTCTTGAAGAAATTCAAGAACATACATGTGACTCTATTTACTATTTTATGGACCATAAAGATACTATGTAATGCACATTTATGCATCCATAATATAGTCTCAGGTGTGTCTCTTAGTCATGAGAACCATCACTATACCAAACTCATTGCTCGAAATCTTCAATTTAGAGCAAATTATCCTGGACGCGGGATCAAATCCATTTTATATGGAACAGTTTAGTTTTTGGGTACTATATATCAAGTACCTTATGTCCATACCAATAATGGTTTTATTGAGTCTCTTATTGAGAATCAAATTGCATGACATTAAAATAGAATTGTAATTTACCAGAACTAAGTTGTTTTCATGCGGCCTTACACACCGCATCATTAATTCAAATTCATCAAGCTGCACTTATACAACTCCCTCCGTTGCAGTATGTACGTGAAACTTTGGCCGCAGCCAAACATTTCCCATCTGCGCATCGAGTATGTTTTCACATACCCATATCACCACCCCAACATACCAATGGGCATTAGGGATCCCAAGAGGTAACTCTGCAGGGGATTTATAAATTACCCGTATGTTGATCACATTTGAGGATAATTCCAGGCATTAGGGGGAGATTTATACCACATCAAGAATGCCAGGAATCAAAAGAGCAATCCTCACATCCATGTATCAAAAATTCTAAACCTAATCGTTTAGAATATCTTATATTTACATCATATTGCAAAGAATCTGCCAGAAACATTTACTGATAATAAGGGTGTCACAAAATCCTCTTATCCTACTTATAATGCGCCCGAAAGAATGGAGGTACCAATTAAAACCATTCAACTCCCACTTCCAAAGAAGAGGGGAAGAAGTACGGCCGCTCTTAAGGATAATGCTCCAAGTAAGCATCCGAGGATATCGAGGATAATATCCTCCAAATCAGTAAATCGAAGCCAACCTCAAGTTGGTAGACACCCAAAATGGATGAGCATCTAAAACCCGGATCAAAATCCATCCGGATCAACGATGCACCCAAATTCTGATCCTAGGACATTGGAACACCCTGACTCCATATGGGAAATGACTCGGAGTCCAAAAGGGTTAACATTTTCACATGCTATATTGATTTCAATAACTGAATCAATCATTTAAAGGCTACAAATTGTCGCGGCATATACTCCTCAAAAGATTGCCCTTTTACCTTACTGGATCCTGACCAAAAATCCTAGGTAGAGTGTCTTCACACTCAAATTTGGTCAAACTAAAAGGTGGCAATTAAGGAGATTGCTCTTGTTCAATGATGAGAAGTATTACCACAGTAATATCTTCCCTCACAGAGTTTCTTTTCAGAAGTAAGGTGGTGAACAATGAGAGCTTGTAGCATATGGTTTCACGTAGAGACCCAGCATAGCATACCCCATGGTATGTATGAAAATAAAGTTTTCCAAATTCAATAATTGGCAGATCAAATGAATTTGATAGATTCGGACGTATAAGTCCCAATGGACTTCATATTCTGAATCCAAATACAAATCGCAACATACATTGTGTATAATTAAACATGATTGCGCATATTGGTTATTTTGATATCATCATGATACAGAAATAATTATGCAATCATTTGAGATACAATTTCCATCATGTGAATTTGAGATGGAGAATTTGGGTAAGACCAAATGTTGCCTAGGCTTACAACTTAAGCACCGTCCTTCAGGGATTTTAGTGCATCAATCAGCCTATATCCAAAAAAATATTGAAAAAATTCAATATAGACAAATCATATCATAACAAAATCCCGATGGTTGTTCGTTCTTTAGAAATAGAGAAAGATCCATTTAGACCACGGGATATTGGAGAAAAGATATTGGGACCAAGGTTCCATATCTTAGTGTCATTGGAGCACTTATGTATCTTGCAAATTGCACCAGGCCTGATATCGCATTTGCAGTGAACATACTAGTTAAACATAGAGCCAATCCAACTCACCGTCATTAGATGGGAGCGAAGCATATCCTCAGATATCTTAGTGGCACAAATGATCTTGGTTTATTCTTTAAGAGAAATCATGATCCCAATATGATTGGATACACGGATGCTGGTTACTTATCTGGTCCACATCCCAAACTGGATTTGTATTCTTACATGGAGGTACAACTATTCATGAAGTCTTCTAAACAGACTCTGACGGCGACCTCTACTAATCATTTTGAAATTATTGCTCTATATGAGGCATCACATGAATGTGTATGACTTCGTAGAATGATTAACCACATACATAGGGCATGTGGTATTGGTTCGATTAAATCACCTACAATTATCTATGAAGATGATTTCGCTTATGTTACATAGATGCAAACAGGTTACATAAAGAGTAATGTCGCTAAGGACATTGCCCCTAAGCTGTTTTATCCCCATAAGTTACAAGAAAGCGGGGAAATAAACATCTTGCAAATCAAGTCATGTGATAATCTCGCTGACCTATTTACTAAGTCCTTACCAACTTCTGTGTTTCAAAAATTGGTGCATGGAATTGGTATGCGGCGACTTCGAGATTTGCCAGAATCAGGGGGAGACATCTCCTAAATGTTGACATGTACCAGCATCATATTATACTCTTTTCTTTCATAAGTTTTACTTACAAGGTTTCTTGTTAAAGTTTTTAATGAGGTAATATTAACATAAGCATGTGTCATATTTCCTATTTTCCCCACCGGGGTTTTTGTGGGAAATATCAAAGACACATATTGCCCTCACAACTCATTCATGGTTTTTCCCTGAAAAGGTTTTTCATGTGAGTTATCCAAGAGGCAATACCAATAATATGTCGTCATATTTTCTCCTAATTTTCCCACTGAATTTTTACAGGAGTTTTAGCGACATATTACTTTATATTGCTCCTCATATTTTTTCTAAAAAGGTTTTTGGAGGAGTTATCTTTATGTCGTATCTCCAATATTTTTCCCCATTGGGGTTTTTAATGGGATACCAATGACACAGTGGTTTACTTAAATCACAAATAAATATGCTATTTTCTCCTTATTTTCCAATAAGGTCTAAAGGAGTTTTTATGGCATATCATATATTCCTCAGATTTTTTCCATAGGGTTTTTCGAGGAATTTCAGCTTACAGCTGCATTGATCTCAAGGAAGATTCGATCAAGGGGGAGTGTTATGAAACGGCGTCTCTCAACAGACACCCATTCGGTGATCTCATCAACGACGCTATGAACAGACACCTGTTCACGAAGTGATCTCATCCATCAATTACAAGATTAGTGGATAGGATTAGACATTTAGTTTTACTCCAAAGGGCATGTCCTTTGGGAACAGTCGTGTCCTTTTGTGACACCCCTTCACTTATATAAATATATTTCAGAGATCAATAAAAGAGATAGTTCTCCCAAATCTTGTTCATTTACATTCACTTCTAACAGTTTGCTTGGCATAGAGCATAATTTTAATCTGGGAGTTCCATATATTTCTTGTTCCGAGTAGACCTGTCTTTCATGACCAGCCCAAAAAGTATTTTATGTTTCAAGTGACTTTTTAGGATTGCTTTCTCCCAGCATATCATTCATGACAAGTCCAATGGATCCATTGTTTTGGAGCAGCCAATGCAATGCAAATTTGTCCTCTTGGACATGTGATTTGTATATATTGCCAAACTTCTCCAAACTCGATCATCCAAAGCAAATTTTTGTGTACTTGCTTTCTTCTTCAACGTATCAACTTCCACTAGTGTGCACCTGCATGGCCGTGTAGGCCGTTTACACACAGTATAAACGTTACACAAAGCCTACTGTGCAGTTTAGGGCCTAAACGGTTATTACATGGTTCCACCGTTTACACGGCAAAAAAAAAAACGGTTCTACACGGACTAAACATTGTACACAAAACGATGATTACACAGTGATTAAACTGTTTGAAACAACGTTTAGGCGATATGGAAGTACCAACTACATCTAATTGCGTATTAGTGTGAAATTTGTTATTTGTGAATTGTTTTTCTCTCGATCATGCAAAAGGTTTGTGCCTATTTGTATTAAGATAGAGAAATTGTTTAATACATCAGGCCTTAGCGGTGCCTTAAGGGGTCAAAAGAGTTATACATGGACGCTCGACACCTCCCTAGTGTACTGAAAGCTATGATGTTACATTGGACACTGATCAACCCAAATTGCAGCGTTGGCTAGGAGGCCTATGCCCGGGCTGTCTAGCAGTGGCGGCGCTGCTTGCGTGCGCCCACCTCCCCGTCCTCTAGGAACAACTCACAGATCGCCTGCATATTAGTGTTGTCACCGTTGAAGATTTCTTCATACGCCTTGAAGGCCAACATCGACGGAGAGATGGCATCCCACTAGCTAGTCCCAGGCGCTTCATGACAAGGTACTCACCTCGGTTGGACACTGGGATATGAGATATACTCTGTGCTATACTATATATCCGCTTGCCCCTCATGGGGATTGTGGGTGGTGCATGTCCACCACTACGTCAAAAAGGGTTTTTAGGGGCGGTTGTAGACCATTTGTAGGGGCGGTTTGGTCAGCCGCCCCTAAGCAACCGTCTCTACAAATCATGTATTTATAGAGGCGGTTCCCAGACCGCCCCTACAAATCGATTTGTATGGACGGCTGGTGTTATCAACCGCCCCTACAAATCGATTTCTAAGGGCGGCTGGTAACATCAGCCGCCCCTACAAAATTGATTTGTAGGGGCGGCTACAGTACCACCCGCCCCTACAAATCGATTTACAGGGGCAGTTCAATCTAGAACCGCCCCTACAGTACATTTTTTCACAAAAAAATTCAAATTTACAATTATATATATATATATATTCAAATCTGACCACACCACAAGGACATTATATAATTCAAATCATAGTCTATATGCTTGTATCACCTACTGCCTATTATGCAACAAAGGTCTAACATCTCAGATTGCAACTATGTATAGAACTATGCATAAAAACATTTTCTGCTCATCCAAGCAGTGAACGCATCCAGGTGACCACCACCATCCTCTTTTTCTGCTCTTTATTTACTTTCCTGCACATCTGCACAAGCAAGGCAACAAGGGAAATGATTATTTTCAATACTTGCTAATTGGAAGAGTGAAAAAATACTCAAAACCGAACTGAACTGAACTGCTGCTGCTATATAGCTTCACATATATGAGCTGAAACACATGCATATATTTTTAATGGGCAAGAGCAAACAAGGATCAATACAGAGATTAACTTAAAACTTGCAAAAGTACTGCTCATATGCTAGTGACCAATTGAGATCAATACAGTACATATATGCAAGCACACCGAGACATCACATGAGCTAGCTAAAAAGGCTTGTGAATGAACAAGGACAAGACCTTGCTCATTTGAGTAAATAAGCACTTAAGACAAGGCATGCAATAATTATTTAACTATTGGCAATAATTATTTAAGTATTTGTATCCAGCAATCACCCATCTGAATATTTCTATTGGCACAATAGACAGGAGCTGTCATGCAAAAGGAGAAAGAACTTTCAGTCAACTTCTAATGCTAAAGCAGTGTAGAAATGCTCCAAATCATTTTAATAGGTAATATACTAGTATTTCGTCAACAGAGAATCAGTAAATGACAGATATAGCTTAGCAAACAAATAATATTGGTAAATGGTGGTAGTAATGACCCTTGGAATTGATTGGTTTCATTTTCATACAAAAGCAATGCAAATTATTTAAACTCAAGCTTGTTGATTGCTTTACAGGTGTTAGAATCCAGTGATGCTACCACAGAATTGAGTGGCGACTACAAAGCAAAATCGGACCCATGAAATTCCTCAAAACCATACTCAGACATCAACATATATATATATCTCATCCTCTAAGCAGGTACTGCATAACCAAGAGATGTTACCACAGAATATTCGAATCTCCCAACACCAGCAACTTGCAGGTTACTGGCCGTTTGATGCAATCATCTCATATTTCACCCCAATTAAGGAAGCAGTATTTCACCCCAATTAAGGAAGCAGTATTAAGCACAAACATAAGCGCTAGATGTAGGATTACGGAAAGCATCAAGAGCATGGCAATTTCAGATTTCCTAGCGACCACGCTAAACAAGTCAGTAACAACAGATTTCTGAGGCGCATCCGTGTCTTCAAGTCAATTTTACCCAACATATGGCAAAGGCAACTGATTCAAACATAGAGAATTCCCAAATAGTTATTCCAGTAGAGACTTACCGGCACTGATGATAGGTTTGGCCCCTCACTTGATCATAGATGCGCTTTCCATCCTTGCCATAGCCATCGACAAAGAGAGCCCAAGGAGTGCTGCATGTACCCAAGAGCTTGTCGTGCTCTTCAGTATATATTTCTTCCTTGGCTCCTATCTCTATTACTGCTGTTTTGCCATCTTCAGAGTGTTTCTCTTTCTTTGGCTCAGTTTCACAATAGCTTACTGGTTCCACGTCCTTCAACCTTAAAAAACAAAAAAAAGGTTTTAAGAAGATTACTGCTAAGATCCAATGAGATACGATTGCAGGACATCTACATCCAGTGTTTATTAAACCTATTTTATTTATTTAACATGTGGCAAACAAATTTGGAGCAGAAAACATAACTCGACAATTTTGTATCGCCTCGTGGAAAGGCGTTAGGAGTTAACGCCATTAGGACAAGATTATGCGCATATGTTATTGACATGACAGTATCGTTATGGGAAAAAAGAAAGGACAGCCACATCCATTCAGATCCATACACACTGAAACTACAATACAAGCACGAGATGAAATAGACAGCGATACTTATACTGAAACGTGTTGAGCTAAGGTGTAAAGGGGTGGAAAGAATAGTAAAACATTCCACAAACAGGAACTGCAGGTAGATCCGTTCAGATGACGAAAAATAAACGACTATCAATCATCGCTATACTAGATTCATGAAGACACAGGACACGCTGAATAAAAAGAACGGATGTTTGCACATAACACGTACTCGCGACCCCAGCGTTCGGAGGCAAGAACCCGCAGCATCCCAAGAAAGTAATAATCAGGACACGCATCCACCACCGCAAAGAAGACGATTCGGTCGGTACTGAGCGACCTCCGCGAGGGCGGCGGCAGCAGGGCTTCACCTCAGCCGCGTCAACGGACCCTCGGCTCCACGGGCTTCAGCGCCACCGCCCACCGCCCGAGGCGGCGGCAGACCGGGCCGAGGTGTGCGAGGTCGAGGATGCCGAGCCACCGCATCCGCCCATGTGCGAAGGTGAACGCAGATCTGCGAAGTCTGCGTCGAGGATTTGGGGATTAGGGTTTAGATGACTTGGGAGAAGACCGCCGATGGGGGAGAGGATGCGCTGGGCAGGGGCAGTCAGCAGGAGGGTATAGGCCGGCTTGGACTTGACGAGGAACGGAGTGGAGGCCGGCTCCAGGAACGGGACTTGGTCGGAGACGACCGAGGCCGGCCATGGCGACTCGCAGCCTCCGCAAGCCGGCTGCAATAGGAGATGACCCGATCTACAACCATGAGGGGCGCACGAACGAGGAGCGCCGGATCCTTCGCTGGATCTGTCCCGTGGGGGAGATGAGGAAGACGAGAGGGGAGGGGACGGGAGGCGGCTGCTGAGAGGAGTGGCTGAGGGGTGTCTGAGAGAGGCGTCGGTGTGGGATTAGGGTTTGGGTGTTATTTTATAGATCGGAGGATTTATAGGGACGGCTAGTGATTGAGGCGCCCCTACAAATAGTAATACCGGGGGCGGCTGGTGAGTGAGCCGCCCTTACAAATCAGACTTATTTGTAGGGGCAGCTCGTATCACCAGCCGCCCCTACTGTTTTATTTGTAGGGGCAGCTGGTCTCTGGGCTTCCGAGCACGTCACTATAGGGGTGGCTCTATCACTAACCGCCCCTACAAAAAAATTGTCACGTTACTACAAACCGTTTTTCACGTAGTGCACCGTGGGCCTCATCTATGGGTAGCTCCAGGATTGGCGGCTGCCTCATCTTTGTGAATCGCTCGGTGCAGCGCTTGAGGTGTCTATCGGTAGAGGTTGTCTAAGGAGGTGGAGTGCGGTTGACGGCGACCGTGGGAGCCACGACCGTCGCGTCTCCCTAGGTAGCTGCCCTAACCAGCGCTGGGTCAGGGTACGCCTCGGCATCTATGACGCTGGGCTATCCCCCCTAGCAACGTGACCTATGGTGGCCCCTGCACAGGAGACAAGGGAGACAAGTCCGTTGTCCACTGGGTAGTCTTCGCCGGAGAACGGGCGTCCACTAGCGACGTGTCCACTTCCTAAGAGGCCGCTACCAGAGCAGGTGAGCACCCAGGCGCTGGTGCTCCTGCTTGACGGCTCACTACGAGCAAGGCGGTGAGGTCCTTCAGCATTGGGTCGACCCACACGGGAGGCCCCACACATGTGCACAACTCCAACGCCAGAAGATCTAGCTCGGGGAAGTAGAGTGTGCAGTAGCAGCGGCTGCGACATTGTCGTCGTAGTCGGCAGGCGTGCCAGAGTTGATAACCCTTGCCGGCTTACTCCAGCATCGCCACCGTCATCGTCGGGTTCTGTTGGCGTCCACTACGGCAACCTGCATAGCCCCATCCGAGCTCGGTGGACCGCTGCGGGGCGCTTGTTGGGAGGCCTATGGCCTGCCACCACGAGCGTAGTGCCGTGGCTGGTCGTCGCCCTTCACCGCTGACATCATAGCATGCCTGAGCCGCTTGTAGTCCCAGGCGAGGTGGCGGAAGCCGTGGCAGCGCAAGCAACACCGTCGCAACCGGCAAGTCGCTACTTGGTGCGAGTGGGAAAGGCAGTTGAAACATCTATCGCGAAGCTCTGTGAGACCTTCCGCGTCTGCAGAAGCTGTTTTGGGCCATGGCGATGCTCAGCCGAGTTGGCCACAGATTGCATCTCCTGCCGGGGGAGGATCTCCCACCACCCATCAATGTTGGGGCAGAGACCCGTCCATGGTGGCCGAGGCATTAGCGGACAGGGATGTAGCCATCCACTAGCCGAGCAGGTAGGCCGCACACCAGCTGTGCGCACGGTCGGATGCATTTCCTCCGCCTCCGCCCAGGTCCCTATCGGCCAGCCTCCGCTGCACCATGACCCAGAATCATGATTGAACGAGTCTGGGCACGCGGCAGGGATGCGGTGACCGGCTTCACTGGACGATGAGCGACATCCAGGTAGGTGGTGGGGTGGTCATCGTCATACTCCTCGCCGTCAGCGTCCGCCCACCGGTGTTGCTTCGTGCGCCCTCCCACAGGGCCACCAGGGTAGAACGGAGCCGCGTTCGGTGAGAGGGAGGGTGAGCTGGGGTTCCAGGCGGCACCGCGACGGCCTGGCTTGGGTGATGGGTGCCCACGGACCTAGAAGGCCCAGACGGCGTGGAGTGGTCATCATCGGCGGAGGCAGCACTCCCTACGCCATCCGGCAGCGTTGACGGTTAGCGGGGCGCCCAGGCCCCGAGCTTGGTGGCCGCGTCGGCTGCGGCAACCGGCCCCGGCGGTGGAGGAGGCAGGGCCATGCTAGATCTGGTCCCCTAGTGAGGCCGCAGGGTGCCCACAACGGCGACATCTGCCACCGGTGGCATAGAGGGCGGGGAGGCGCCGGCACCGGAGGCAACCTCCTGAGCGCGCCGCAGAGACACGGGTGGCGGTGGATTGAAGAAGCGGGGGGAGTGGAGGGAGGAGAGGGGGAGGTGGATGCGGGCTCTGTGGTGGCCGGTGGTGGCGGGGAGGGGGCCGCCAAGGCGGCTCGTCACGCACCCCAGCACTATCACCTACGCGAGGGAGAGGAGGGTAGGGGGTGGTGGACGCAGAGGGGGTGGGAAGGAAGGGGAGGGGCGGTGGGTGCGGGCGTCGATGCCGGCGGCGGCAGCGGCATGGAGCGGGCCGCCACGGGCGGCTAGGGTTTCGGGGTTCGGCCCGGCCGGCCGATGTTGGGCTTTGGTTCAGCGAGCGATGCAGTCTGCTTCATTTTCACCCAATGTTGTGTTATTTGCAAATTGTAATTTGTTATATTTGATTTGAGAATTGTCAACTAGTATGATTAGATGTTTAGTCAATTTGACTTTTAAGCTTGGCAACTTTTTATGTTTGACCGACGAAATATCAAAATTTCTAATTTTCACTTACATAAGTATATAAATTTTATCGCCATCTTACAAAACTTGTAGCCCATGCACACAACGTGTCCATTCCGTGTACACACGCCTGACTTGCTACTCGAGGGGTGACCGAACGATTACCATTAAGCGTTTAGGTGAACGTTGCTTTCACTATAAACGATAAATGGCACCTTCATTTAAGAATCAATCTGCAGCCGGCGCTGTCATCGTTCTTCTACTTGTCATCGTGGCCGCCGGCAAAAGAATTTGGCTTTCACTGTTCTCACTGAAGGAAATTGCTGAGTAAAAATTAGGTCATATCGAGATGTCCATTCCACTCCATGCGCATTATTACTATTATCTCCATAGAGAAAGAAAAGGCTAATCCTCTTCCAAAGGATTCTAGTATGGTGAATGGACCTTGTTGCCCATGAACTTTTTTTTTTGAAGTTGTTGCCCATGAACTTGTATCCCAAAAATAGCCCAACAACAACTCTTTGCAAAGGTGCAGTGCAAGGACAAATGCACCCGCGTTTCATCTTGACCATCTTGACAGAGTAGACATTTATAATCTTGGGAGGACCATATTCTGTGCAGACATCTATTTTGCCCAACAGTTCTAAAAGTTTCCATCATCAGTGCTGACGCATAAAAGCAAAATGGTGCCTTACTGGTCTGTTGGCAGACATGAACCCGAGGACAGGCATGCACCTATTTCTATTTGGGGAATTAATTAAAAGCACGGATTATTCTCCTAGTGTTTGCCGCCGCAGAAGCAGAAGTAGCTGAAGCACAAGCACGCCTTCGAGAAAAACGTACGATCCCTTGTTCCAGTCAGGGTAACCCGCGTTGCATGCAGCATCGAGAGCAGGGATCGCTATTAACAATACGTCAGTTGTGACCTGCTGTCCATAATTTTAGAGTTGCTTTCTCCCAGCATTCTTAGCAGCAAATCCGATGGATGTGCCGGTTGGCGTTGGGCAGCGATAGTTTTTTTTTTTGTTAAGAAGTATATATATATATTCACCCTTAGTTAAGTGATTGCCAAACTTTCTAAACTCGATCGCAACAAATCTGCTCGCTCAATCTTCTTCAACGTACTAACTTCCACCAGATAATTAAGAAGCAATGGCGCCTTCACAAATGAATCTCTCTGCTGTCCTCCTAGTCGTCGTCCTCCTACCCGTTGTCATGGCAGCTCGTGGTATGTACGCGTGCACATGCATGAACTACATGTTGCAAGCATCGATGTCATTTGATTAATCTTTTGCTAATTTCAAGTTGTTTGATGCGCCTTCGACATTTGTTGCATAAATGTCCATGCCTAGACCTGAACCATGAAGAGTCGGCGTCCATTGGGAAATATCTTTGTGCCGAACACCTGAGCGGCAATTATAAAGGGATATGCATTGGATTGATATACATGACGCCGCTTGCAATCGTGTATCACCTCTGGTGGCATCTGTGACTTTTTACAATGCTGATGCATAACCAGATGCACCGCTGAGACTGAGGCTGTTGCCAGTGCTCCGATCCGGCAATGATACAATGATCCCCGCCTGAACAATGATCCGATCCTTCCCAGCCATCGTCTAATAATAATATATAACATTGTATACTCGGTGTGCCTACCAGCTGCTTACTTATGTTGTGTCGTGGACTTGCGGGTCAAAATAAATTTGTATTTTCTTGTGCAAATATATATGGTTGCCGATCAAAATTGGCACATGTGGAAAAAAAACGGAGCACCGCTCCAATGCAAATTGCATTTCTCCATTGCGTAGCTCATATCGAGCCATCAAAATGCATATATAGATCGCACAATTTAGAATTGGATAACAGAGTTAGGCTAATTATGAAACAGAAAAAATTGTAGAAAAAGGATACTGACATATAATAGTGCTATAGAAACAGCTTTTACAAAAGCACAATTGGCTAAATACTTCAAATTTGATAGAATTAAGTTTGGACTTAATGTCACCCATAGCGTTAGCATGGGTAATATACTAGTCAAATCTAAGTGACGGTGTTGTTCGCACCAATCTAGATATTGCCACATTAATATAAAAAATAAAAGAATATATACCGTTGAATTTTATGAGGATCTACAAGAGAGTTGACTCTTTCCTAGGAGCCTCTT